CGCGCCCCGCCGGGGTGACGGAAAGGAGGAGGGCCAAAATGGCGGCCGAGGAGCGGCGGCAGCGGCCCTGCTGTCGCTCCCAGACGCTGCTCACAGGCCCGAGGTCCCCATTGACAGTGCTTAAGGACCGCGTCTTGCAGATTATTAGCACCCTGGGTAATTAGAGCCGCAGCGAGGGAGTAACGCGACTGAAACAGAAGTTGTCCAGTCTGCTGCTCTCTCCGGGACATGCAAGAGCTTAAGAGATGTCAGCTTGTGTGTGGTGGGGGGTGATGTTAAACCAGGCTAATTTAAACGCAGGCATTAGTGTTTATTGGACTGATATCACTTAAGAAAAAAAAAAAAAAGCTGCTAAGTGCACAAGCCCTTCTTCAAGTTAATTATTAACGTTCAGCCTGGGAGCGCGCACAAAAGCCTTTCCTGTTTATATGCCCAACCAACATCTCCCGTAGCAGTGAGAGTTCACAGTATACAGCCTTCCAGGAGCATGCCTGACATCTCAACCGAAGCCTAAAACCCTTCAGTAGCCGTTCCCTGCGCTTTAATCGAGTTGCAGTTTCTGTGCAGCGCTGCCCGACCTGTACCACGAACAGGAACATCTACTAAACACGGGAGTCGCTGCTGCCAGAGCTAAGGAAACGTAACGAGGCGCTGCACACGCAGCAGGGACAGCTCTCTGCCTTCCCCGCGTCCTGGAGGCCCACGCGCTCCTGCGGCGCCTGCTCAAAAACTGCGGGATCGCCGCTACGTCGGGAGCTCCGTCATTCTGGCAAACTCAGCTGAAGGGAGTCAACATGTCCAAGAGTCCTTAAGGGGAGACTGGTAGACATGGATAGAAAACAGTTATAGAGCATTTATTTTAAGTGAAGCCAAACAAAATACATGCAGGGTAGACATCCTTTAAAAAAAACATGCCAAAAAACTTTGTAAGAGCAGTACATGCTGATGCTGGGTGCCCTTGGTTAGTATATTTTGTTATTTCACTACGAACAAGGTGGTTTTAGCATTAAAGAACCACCCCCCACACACACATACATACTGTTTTCCTCAATCTTCTTTTTCATTAGTAGCTTTAAGAAGCAAAAACAAATACAAAAATAAAATCACATGACTTACCAGCCAATTTGATGCTTAAAATCAAAGAGGGAAAATCTTTTTCATTAAAATAAACAACAAGTTCCAAGAGGAGAAATTCACTTGCCTGAATAATTCCTGTACAGGCTTTCCTTCATTAGTATAGGTGTCTGGTATTTGTTTCTTTAACAAGCTTACCCAATATTTAATTTGAAGACATTGTAACTACAGCAACTACACACAAACAGCAGGTTAAAATATTTTCTTACACATAGGCTGGCAGGATTTGGGTAGTCATCTGTTTTTCAGTTTATTTGAGAGCTCATTTGGCAGAAGTCCATCCTTTTCAGCATAAATAAATACAAGTCCCACAGCCCTACCTTAGACTTCGATGTGCAATGGCCTCCTCATTATCACCGAGTTGTTTAAAATGATTACATAAGAACTGATGAAATTAAATTATCTTGTAAAACACCGCTAATGCTAACATTGCAATCTTTATTATTATTTGCATTTTTTTCTAATTACCAAAGTCAAGAAAGAAAAAATGTTTGCATCCTTCTGTGCCATGAGCAGGGTCCTGTGGACTTTCCTCCTTCTCCCCTTCCCTCCCTTCCCCAGGACATGTTTCTGTGTCAGAATTTCTCCTCCTCGCTGTTTCCAGAAGCATTTCTGGAGGGCGGAGATTGTCTAATTTTAGTATCTCGGAGAATCCCTGGCTCTCCAATGAGCAGCCCGCTGCATCTGAAGCTCCAGCCAATTACCCTGGGTTTCCTCCTGCTACACTTCCCACGATGTTTTAATAATACAGACTTGGACATTTAAAGTGGCCTCACACTCTGAGACAAAATAGCGTTGCTAACAAAGATGCATCGTTCTACAGGAGTAGAAGCTCAAAGGTTTGCTCTAACCCAGCCTTTCAATCCTGTGTTAATGTAATCAGATGCATATTATCATTTTAGCATTTGAAAAGACATTCCTGATACCTAAAAAGATGGCCTGAAACATCCTCCGTAACTGCAGAAGGCCAAGGATGTGACTTTGCCATGACAATTTTGCTCTCCCCTTGCCTTAACTCAATGTAACGAACATGAAACATCGGTTACAACTCTGAATACTTTCCTGGGCACAGCTTTGCTGCTCTATCTTATCTGTTAAGAGGTTTAACGAGCCTTAGTTGTCTTGCTTATTTTTAGCTGGCACAGAATATAACAACACTGAAAGATCCTGGCTGCAGGTGCCTTTGCATTCCAGTAACAAAAGTACACTTTTTTAAATGGAAAAAGTAGCATGTGATGACTTTGTATTCTACTTGTGTAAGAAGGTGAAGTTCAGTACCTGTAGTGTGTTAGTATTGAAACAAAAGAAACCCAAAGAACAGAAGTAGGTAGAACAGCCCTGCATGAAAGAAAATGGGAGAAAATAACTGTAAAGAAAAGCTAACAAAATAATGACTGGTCTGCATTGATTAAAAGTGAAGCTTACACAGCTTGCAACTTTTTTTTCCTCTTTGATGTCAAGATAAGTATTTATTTGCTTTCACACAGCTTGCAACTTTTTTTCCTCTTTGATGTCAAGATGTCAAGATAAGTATTTATTTGCTTTAGAAATGACTGCCTCGCTATGTGTTCGCCACACATCCAAGTTTCTTTCACCAGTGATGCCTTTGCTTCTGCCTCTCAGTATAAACTGTGCCCTCCGTACCCGCGATGCTGGCTCACCTTCAGCACTTGCTTCGTCCAGGCTTGCTTTTGCAGTGTGAAGTGTCTCTGGCGGAAATCCTGTGATGAATTGAACTTCCTCTACTGCAGGGCTGGCTTCTCCTGTGCTTCTGCCTTCTTGTGAAGGCTTCTACTTCTCCAGTTTAACTGCAAACTTGTAATTCCAGCTAGTTTCTCACTGCTCTTGGCAAACCCTGCCAAGCTTTCCCTTTGTTTTTCCTCTATTCTCTATCTCGATGTTTTCCTTAAAGATAAAATTAACAAAGCATTCTCTTGATGCTTCCTCTTTCCTAAGTAGCAAATAAAGTCTTATCTAAATTCCATGTGTAATGGCACCACTTGCCCTTTTACCTTCACGGTTATTTCATTTCCTCTCTGATCGCTCCAGCATCCATACAGGTATGTTTTGGTCCCTTCCACATTGAGAGAAGGGAAAAAAAAAACAAAAAAGCTTTGCCCAGAAGTGTCTTTGCATCTCACTTTTACCAGTCGTCCAGTCACATGTCTCTTCCAGTTCTACCTTAAAACTTCTCCAAACCTGATTGATTGCTCTAGTCATCTGCAAAGGTTCTCAACTCTTAATGAACTCTTCTTCATTTGCTGCTTGCTTAGTCAGCTATCTTCCTAATTTTTGCAGATATTCTCACCTCTTCCCCAGCCACTGGTTCACCTTGGCTTGTCAGTGTGTGTTTCTTTCCATTCGGTGCCAGAGTGCTCATGAGCTCGATTCTTGATTCTCTCCTCCCTTCCCATCTGGCTCATGGCTCAAAATCCTAATCGGCAAATGCAGATGTGATTACCTCACATTAGTGTCTCCTTTTAAGCTTCTGGTGTCTCCATTGCAACTAAAGTCGTGGTAATGAGCTTGTTAAGACTGATGATCTGACTGAAAACCAACCACCTCTTTTTTTTTGTTTCTTTGAGTCAGCTTACAACCCACTGTGCAAAAGAGTGGGAGGAACCTCGCAGCCAGGAATGCGGGGTTTGCACTCACGTTGGTCTCAACTGCTGCGGAGCTGCAAGCCAAGCTGTGATTCCTGTTATTTATTGACATGGCTGGGACTCTTGCTTAAGCTCTCATCATCTCAGTGAGTGCTGACATCCTTTCCTCTGGCCTCAGCAAATAAATCATTCACTTCCATTCAGAAAGCTTATGCAAAACTATTCTCTTAGTTCACTGGTTTAACCATGACACTTCTCTGCATCTTTCCAAAATCTTTCCAAAGGCAGAGCTCTCTCTACCACACACAGACCTGTTAGTCTGCAATCACAAGCCCATTCACGCTGTTCCAGTCCCACTCACCCTTGGTTTAGCAGTGAAAGATACCTCCCATTTACATCAGCAGGTACAATCAATTGCCATGACCGCGTTTCCAAACAAGCACCTTCATGCTTTATCCCATGTTGTTGCTCAGGATGAGCACTCCTTGAATGCCTGTAAACTTAACTTCATTCTCCTTCCAAGGTAACTATACACAATACAAAAGGCATTTGCTTATTGTTTTCTATAAACCTCCTCCTCCTCAAGATATTCCTCCTTGGCTTTCACCTAACCTATAAGCCTCCTAGTGCACAAACTCTCCACTGTTGTTCTACATGATGTTTAACATATTATTGCTTTGGATTATCCCCGAGGCCACTAAACTAAGTGAAAGTACGAATAAACACATACAGAGCTTTTATATGGCAATTTACCAGAGGCAATAAAGACTTCTTTGGTTTAAAGACAGCATGAGTAGCCAGTGAGGGCAGGGCTTGGAAT